TTTGTCTTCTTGACATTGAGCCTCAGTCCATACTGAAGGCTGAAGTCCTTGACCCTCTGCAGTAAGTACATGAGGTCCTCCTCAGTTTCAGCGAGCAGGGTTGTGTCATCTGCATAACGCAGATTTTTGCTAGATCATCCACCAATCCTAACGCCACGCTTCTCCCCTGTCATATATAGATAATAGATAATATAAACACATTCTTGCTCTTTAAGAAAGTCTTTGATAGCAGATTTTCTCAATGCAATGCATCCTTTGATTTCCTGACTGTTTGCCATGGAAGTTGATTTTGGATCCAAGGCAAATAAAATCCTCGATAACATCAATCTTTTCTCCAGTTATCATGATGTTGCTTGTGGGTCCAGATTTGAGGATTTGTGTATTTTTGTATGTTGAATTAGCATCCATTTTGGACGTTGTTGTCTTTGGTCTCCTTAAGTGCTTCAAGCTCTCTTCGTTTTCTACAAGCAGAGTTGCATCAGCTGCATGTCACAAATAGCTAATGAGTGTTCCTAAAGTCTTGGTGCCACATTCTTCTTCTAGGGTAGCTCATAGAATCTTTACTAATACTTATCTTTCATTTGAATAGTAGAAAAATATGTGATGTAAAGGGGCTCTATTGGCTAGTGGCAAGAAGCTGCACTGCAACCCCAAAAGCACTAGATTTAAATCTACCACCTGCTCCATGGGAGAAGAATGGGTAATCTCCTCCCCTCGGATTAAATGCCTCTGAAACCGCTCAGGAGAGTCAGCTATGGGTCTGTTCCAACTCTATGGTACACGACAACAACAAGTTACAAATTACTGAAATGTCCTATTTCTTATATTATATGGACGCTAAAAATAAAATTGTTTTGTAAATAACATGCCTCCGGAACTCTGTGTACTTTGATAAATATTGATGGTTATAGAGGGGCTTCAGGCCTTTTGTTCATAGGTTGCTATGAACCGTGCTCGACTCAAAGGCAATCAACAACAAAAACATTGAATTATATTCGTTACAACATTATCAGTAATTGAACAGAAATCTTTTTACAATTTCCCCCTTTTTTCTTTGTTACTTCATTCTCAAAGAAGTTCTTGACACAGGTGCAGAAATATGACTTACCACAGTATTGTGCTGTTGTTGTTGTTTTTAGGTGGCCATCAAGTATGACTCCCAGAGATCCTATGAGCAACAGATCTGACCCAGCCTCATCATCTATGATACACTTCAGCCCATTGCTGGAGTCATTCTGTCAGTCCATCTGGTTGAAGATCTTCTTCTCTTTTGCTGACCCTCCACCTTTCCAAGAATGCCATCCCTTTCCAAGGAATAGCCTCTCCTAGCAACATGCCTAAAGTATGTGAGATGAAGCTTCACCATCCTTGCCTCCAAGGAGTGCTCTGTTTGCATTTTTTTCCAAGACATATATGTTTTCTTGCAGTCCATAGGATATTCCGTACTCTTCTCCAACACCACAGCTTAAAGGCATCAATTCTTCTATCATTCTTATTCACTGCCCAGTACTCAGATGCATAGCAAGAGACTGAAAATACTCTGAACTGAATCAGGCATACCTTAGTTTTTACACTGACATCATTGCTCCTCAATAATTTGGAGAAGTCCCTCTCAAAAGACTTGCTCACTGCAGTATGTCTCCTGATCTCCTGACTGCTGGTTACCAAGGATATTTATCATGGATACAGTTGAGATGAAATTGCTGACAATTTCAATTCTTTCTCCATCTATCATAATGTTGTTTATTGGTCCAGTGCTGAGGATTTTTGTCTTCTTGATGTTGAGATGCAATTCATATTGGAGGCTGTAGTCTTTGTCCACAGCAAAAATGTCAAGTCCTCCTCACTTTCAGCAAGTAGTATACTTATATTGTAAGTAAATCACCAGAAATTTTATAGGAGTGCATTATAGACCACTAGCTACCAGAAATTTGCATCTCCACCAGTGTTTGATGGACTTAGGGGAGAATTCTCAAACATTTGACCATAGCTGGTAGCGCCTGTGATCACATCTGATCAAAATGATTTTACAAAAAAAGTGTGGCTGGGGGCAGCTTAAGATAGGGCAAAGAGCAGATATCCACACATGTTTCTCAGGCAGAATTTAGTATGAACTCCAGAAGACCTCAACAATGAAACACTAGATTTTTATTGCATGATAGAAGAAAATACCATTTTCTCTAAAATGTGCACCTTTGAACTTGTCACAATGAGAGTTTGAAATTGTGACTTACAATATCAGATTACAAAAATCTGTCCTTTGCTTTACTACGGAGGTGTAGGATATACATTGAATTTGTGTAATACATATTTTTAGTCATTATTCCAATAGTTTCTTGGCAGGTGGTCTTGTTTTCCAGGCAGTGGACAGCATTAGAGTGTATCATGTCCTGCCAGTTCATAAACCTCCTTTCCTCCCTAACTGTTAATGTTCAAACAGCTGGCCCTTCATTTCCATGGAGGATTATATCTTTAAACTCTCAGACTCAATGTTGTTGTAGTTACTACTGTGGGTAGGAATGTGGAATAGGAAAAAGAAGATGTTTTGGTGTATAATAGTTTTTTAGTAATTAACTGCCAAAAAAGCAAGAAATCAGTCTTAGAGGAAGTACAACAAAGTGCTCCTTAGAGGGAAGGATGGTGAAAAGTTGCCTCACCTACTTGCTACACATCTGAGAGCGAGACAATGACCAAGAATGACAGAAGAAGAGTTGATGCCTTTGAAGTGTGGTGTGGGAGAAGACTGCTGTATTATCGCAGGAACAGCCAAACCAATAAACAGATATGTCTTGGTGCAGGTGCAGTCAGAGTGGTCCTCGGAGGCAAAAGCAATGAAACTTCTTCTCACATACACTGGGCATGTTGCTAAGAGAAGTTATTCCTTGGAGAGGGTCACAATGCTTGGGAAGGTGGAGAGATGGCAAAGGAGAGGAAGACCCTCCACCACGTGGGCTGACACAGTCACTGCAGCGACGAGCTTGAGTGTGCCCTGCTGGTGCTTGCTGTTGTAGCTAACAGAGCCTTGCAGTGAGTCTCTACTGTGTCAGCAGTAGCTCTGAGCTGACTGAATAAATATTATTTACACAGACCTGTTTGTATCTTTATTAGCAACAGTACTATGGATTAGCCCACACAATCATTATTCATAAAGAAACAACCAAAAGATGTGTGTTTAGATACCAATAATAGCAGTACTAGATTATCTCTCTCTATTACCACATTGCCTTGGCTGTTTATTCAACATATGTTAAAGGAGTATCTTCGTCTTTTGAGAAGGAAGTGTGTTGACAATCGAAGGGACTTACAATAGGGAGGAAATACTGGTTTGGGAGACACTGTAAAGGGAAGCTGACGAGGAAGGAGAGCTGTCCGGCTTCAGCAGGATGCAGGTGAAACATGGAAGGGAGTATGATATTTTCAAGATAGATTTTATAGGTGTGAAGTTATCAACATCAACCTGAAAAAGAGACCAAAGTGATTCTTTACAAAGAATCCCTTTGGTCTGGTGCCAGTACTGGAAGCAAGTCAGGGTTTAAATAAAGGTAACAAAAGTGACTTGTGTTGTTGGATAGTGAACGAGCTAAGTACACTGGGGATTTTCTACCATCACTTCCCTCCATGCATTTGGCAAGGAGTAGATTTTTATCATAACTCCATCATCTCGACCATAGAAAAGTAAATGAGAAATGGACTCCCGGGTCTCTAATTTTCCCTCCTGGGAACGTAGAACACTTAGGACTGGAATATATAGCTTAACACAATAAAAGCATTGAACTTTGGTGCTATAAAGTTATATGTCCTCAGACACTTGATAAACCAAAGTCACGCAAAATAATTCTAGGGGAGCAGAACATTAAGAAGGGAACTGAGATGTGGGAAATCGCATGCGGAAGACATTTAAAGAGGAGACGTGAAAGATTTGACAAGCCCAAAAAGAACCGTGTGGCTGATGCAAAGCTCCAGATCAAATGAGGTGAAGCGGTGTTGACAGCATGATTTATCAGATCCTCCTGCATTTCACAAGTGGCCCTTTATTTAAACAGAGGTGAGCGGACTTAGGTCTCTTCTATTGCAATCACATGAGACAGTCATAGCTGTTAAGTTTTAGATTGTGAGTACTTTTGAACACATCTCATGTTCTCCCTAAGGCAGAAATCAGAAAAATTCTCTTTCCCAGATCTCATTGGATCTAAGACAAAGGGCCTACGACCTAAGCATTTCCTCTCAGAATAGACTTGATGGCAGCTGACAACAGACTCAATCTGGAAATAAGCAATGTGAGGAAACAGGCTTTTTAAGGGCCAGGCTGTGTTGGCAAGAGTGGTGGCAGGGCTTCCAGTTTTCAGGAGCAGTGCTGGTTGCAAGGCTGAATTCCACAGCAGAAATGGCATCCGTGCTCCTGATCACTCGTAACAAAGCTTGTTAACAAAGACAAGTGGTTAAGTGCGCTCCTACAAACCCAAAGGTGGGCAGTTCCACCCAGAGGGGCCTGATGATCTACGTCTCAAATACTGGTCTTGAAAACTCTGTGGATAAGCTCTATTCTGCACACACAAGGTTGTCAAGAATTAGGATGAATTCAATTACAATAGTAACAGACACCTCGGAGCCCAATTTCTGGCCACAGCAAAATCTAATATTTAGGGCTCAGCTGAGACTCTGGCAGCAGTGGTGGGTCCCTGGCTGCAACCTGTTCATGATTCCAGAGTGTTCTAGCTGAGTTTCACGCCTAGTTGGTCAACTTCTCCGCACATTCAGTGTCCTTTTATGAAGTTTTTTGCTTAAACTCACCAAAGTGGGTTCTAGTACTTGGAACTTCTACAATCTTAGACTGGTAAAAATCTATGCATGACCGTCTAACATCATAGGGAATCTATATTCTTCATGTTTCTAAAACTGCCTGGCACACAGGTACCCTCAAGATTCTAATATATTGGGAAGTGGGCACACAAATATTTAGGTTTGACTTTATAACTTAAGAAATTACTCTCTGTCTAGGTATCATCTTTGCATGTGACCTATAGCAACCCTATGTACAACAGTTCTGAACCCTATCCCATCTTGAGCCAATTTCATTGTCTCTGACACACCTACCACCATCACCCCAGTCACTGACTGGGTCAATTCATCTCATCCAGAGTCTTCCTCTCCTGTGCTGTCCCTCCACCCTTCCAAGCAGATGTCCCTCTCCAAGGACTGGTCCCTCCTGACAACATGCCCATTTTATGTAAGATGGAGCTTCAAAGTCCTTGCCTGCAGCTTGACTTCACCCTCTCCAGGATGGTCCTATTGGTTGTCTTGGCAGTATGTTTAATACTCTTCTCCAGCATCACAACACAAAAGCAGCTCATTGTTGCTCTTCAGTACTCTGGTGAGGTCCCAATTTGTCTTTTGATTTCCTGGCTGCCAAAGAGAGTTAATTGTAGAATCAAGCAATCCATGGATATTCAGTAGTCTTCCCCAGTACCTCAACTCACAAGCATCAATTTTTCCTCTGTCATCCTTATTCATTGTCCAGTTCTTAGATTGAAAAGACCATGACTTGAGTCAAGCCCACCTTGGTCTTTAAACCAACATCATTGCTCTTCAGGTCTTCAGAAATAATATGGAGCAATTCTATGCTGTCCTATTGCGGCCTCTATTCGTCAATATTGACACCACCAGAGTACACTAGGTTTTCTTGTTTGGGGATTTAAGCCGCAACAATGGACTCAAGTACAGCAACAACAGGATGGCACAAGAATTGGAGATGTTTTATTCCATTGTACATATAGTTGCAGAACTGACAAGATCAGGGTATGTAGCTTTGGGTAAATAGCTCCTTTCCCAACTGTCTTTATTCATAAATGAGTCTGAGTTAAAGCCTGCAATGTCTTTGGGATGTTTGATGAGGCCAGAACTCAAAATTGATGTCAACTCTCATTAATCTCATTGCCATAGAGTCAGAACTAATTCATAGCTGATTCTCTCGGGTTTCTGAAGCTGTAAACCTCTTGGAGCGATAACTCCCATGATAATTTCAATTATTAGCATCCGGCTACTATCGTTATGAATTGTGAAGTGTTCGCCTGAGGCGTATCCCCGCAGTGGGACCCAATTAAGCGGAGCCGACTGTCGGAATAGCCAATCAGCTCTTGACTACCAGTTCGCACATGCAGCCATCGACGTAAGTTCGCAGCTTGTCATTGGTCAACACTCACAAGAGCTTTCACCAATCCGCTTGGCTAGAGGGGAAACGAGTGGAAAGGGAAGAGCCAATGAGCGCAGGGTTTACGGTCTCCTGGAGACGAGTGTAAACAGGTGGGGCGTGTTGGGTCCTGCAGCCTGAGGCTGCGGAGTAAACCATGAAGTCTGAGTCCTGGGTCCGGCGTCTGCTGCAGGAACCTGGTCGGAAACAATTATGGCCCATGACGCTGGGCCTAGAGCGAGAGGACCCCTACGATCCCCTTGGCAGCGCCCTGGCTGTGAGGTGTGGCGTCCAGGGACCCGCTACTGACGCTCAGAAACGCCTGACCTCTGTCCTCTTTCAGAATCGCTCTCCACTATAACTTGTCTTCTGACACCTTCCAAAACCCCCTCCCGTAGATTCCCTCCCTGTGATCTCTTCTCTGTTATTTCTCACCCCGTTATTCAATGACTTAATCCTTTTTTGGTTTTTTCCCCCCAATCCCTGCTTGTTTACCCATTATTCCTCCCCATTCACTTCCCTTCCTGCCTCTTCCATCTGCTCTGTATTCGCTTCAGAGATCTGTTTCCTCTGCGGTTTTTCTGAACATCTGCCACACATCCCACAGATGGCCCCTAAAGTTAGAACTCTCAGTTCCTTCTTTCTAACTCCTGTCTTTTCGTTTTAGACTTATTTGCATTTCAAGGGATCCTTGAAAAACAAAGCGCTGCGTAGATAGAAATGTTTCCATCCACTCCCATTCTGTCTTCAAGGTTAGCTACATCATCCATTAGTCCTGCTGTAAACTCCAATAACTTGAGTTTATTCACTTTCGCCTGGTTTTCTCATCATCTACAAGTTTGTCTTTAGCATTTAAATAAAAGTCGGATCTTCCCCTCCCTTCAGACCCTCCTTCCGTCTAGCATACACGTACTCCTTACTTAGAAATAGGTTTCTAGAGATCTAACCGCTCGATTCTTTCAGGCCAATGTCATTCTCTCTATTTTCTACCTGCAATCAGACTTTTTACAACTCAAAATACAGCAAATCACCCTTCCGTTTAAAAAGAAGCAATTTTCCTACTTATCTCCACAAAGAATGCTACACTTAAATTTAGTTTTTTAAAGTGACAATAGAATTTTGATGAATTTTGTTTTCTCTTAAGACCAAGTGTCTCCCTTCCACTTCTTCACTCCCCAACCCTCCCTCCCCCTTCACATGGCACTCCCCAACCCTCCCTCCCCCTTCACATGGCCCCAGCTATGTTTCTGACAACATTCTCAGCTTAACATTAAAAGATTCTCTGAAGAAGGTTGTTAGGGCCCATGAGACTTTCCCACCTACATTTAGACTTGCAAAGTTTGTGGACTCTAACGGATCTCATTGCCAGGATTGTGTTTTCTTGTATCTTAGAGACTATTTTGTGCAGAAGGATGTGTTTCCCAGACTTAAATGAATTTTTGTTTACTTTGTTGGGAAAAGGGAGAACGTATTTCAAATATGTTTTACTGATGGTGAAATCTTTTTTTTCTTAAAGATGGGTGCAAGGATTCCCTAAGCAGAATGTTCAGTTTATCAACAATGAAACCATTTGCTATCCTTCTGGGAATTACATAATCTTTCTTAATATTCAAACCAAGGAAAAGATGGCACTCCAGTGTCCGAGTGGAATTGTGGGCGTCATGGCAACTAACAGTCCCTGTGAAGTTGTGGCTTTTTCAGATCGAAAGCTAAACCCCCTCATCCACATATACAACTTCCCTGGACTGACCAAAAACACCGTATTAAAAGGTATCCTAACAGGCCTTCTGCTGCAACGGAATCATTTTGTATTAAGATGTGAACAGATTTAGCACTTTTAAATTTAGAAGTTTTGAGTCCACAAAGGGGAAAAAAAAGATAAAAGATTGATATATTTTATTAAATAAAATACAAAGTTTATGAACATGAAAAACTAAAAGGTAAATCATAAACATGGGAGAATATTTTGTACAAATATGATGATCAGATATGTTCAGAATACTTAGAGAAACAATAAGAAAAAATAATTAGCTCATTAGAACAACAAAAACAAGAAGCCCAGATTAACAACAGCAGCAGCAATAAATGCTGTTTAAGGCAAGACACTATTTTCTTACCTATCGAGGTAACAATTCTTTTAAAGATCATACTTGTTAGATGGAGTGTAATTAGTGGTAATCTTTTTTTAATAAAAAATGAAGATAGGAGTTTAAATGATCAAGTCTTTCTGTGAAGTAAAAGATAAAATAATTGTAAATGACTTAATAACTCACTTCTAGAAGCAGAATTCAATCCTAAGGAAATAATCAGGTCTTCTAATTTGTGAACTAGTTAAATACACTGTCATTTATTATAGCAAAAGTGTAGAAAGAAACCTACATCTCAAGTATTAAGAATATATTTAAACAAGTTAACCCGTAAAAGGAATTATACAAACATTAAAAGTCACATTGCGGAATCACAAAAAGGATGGTAAAATCACTAAGAGAAAGGTAAATAGAAACAAGAGGATGTGACACTTTGTATAATATTGAGATTCTATTTTAAAAGTTGTGTATATTTAATATATATATAAATCTATATAAAAATCCATGATTACTCATAAGAACAAAGCTATATTTAGAGAAAAACTTTATCTTTGTAGTTTTACAAAAGCACAGAAGCAAATGCCAAAATCATTCTGCTAAGGTCTTCTACAGGAAAATAATGCTGAATTAATTTACATTTTTAAAATTTATTTTTAGGGTGGATTGTACTGAGTAAATTTGACAAATGATAAAAAGTCATATTTTAGGCATAGAGAATTGTGAAAGTGAGAAGAGTAAAAAATCAGCAAACAGAAACTTTAAGAAGACACCCACCAAACGACAAGTAAAATAGTAGATACAGAAAAAAGCCAAAGAAGTGCATTGAGGCAGAGCCCAGACACAGAAACGCACAGGCAGAAACATCCTGATTGCAGCATCCCCAAGATGCTTAAAGATATTATGCTAAGGATCAGATAAGACTTAAGTTACAGCTGGATGAAGAAAAAACTAGAATTATTACAATTCAAAGTACTTAAGGTTGCTTAAGTAACTTTTCTAATTATATCGTTTCTTAAATTATAGGATGTTTAATGGCTCATGAGGATTTAATTTAAGAGCCATTAACTAGGGGGGGGGGAAGAGAAAGAAAAAAGGGAACTCTGGTGGCCCAGTGGGTAAGGAGTTGTGCTGCCAACCCAAAGGCAGGCGGTTCAAATCCCTTAAGTATTCCATAAATGTAAGAATTCATGCTTGATACAAATACATGCATGATATAATGTACATAGTTCCCCACTGAAGTCTAGAAATGGTAACCTAGTTGTCTTCATTCACTCATTCAATCAAGCTAATACCGTTTAAAAATGTACCTTCACTTATATTTTAGCTTTGAGTTTAACAATAGTCTTAGAAAAGGGTAAGGAGATCTGTTATTCCCAGAGTTAAATCCTTCTGAGTTTTGTGAAAGTTATTTGAGAGGAAGTAAACTGTAAAGCTACAGGTAATCAGAGCTTAGAAATGACATTCTTCTGCCGGGATTTATGTTTTAGGCAATGTGCTTCTGGACTACACTTTACTCACCTTCAGCCACTGTGGTACATACTTGGCCAGTTATTCCTCTCTCCCAGAATACGAACTAGCTCTCTGGTAAGTGGGAGCATGTTGGAAAAATTTCCTGTACGAGGCTACATTTTCATTTTATCCTTCTGGAATTTATAAAACGAAATAATCATGAAAAATGTGAAACATGGTCAAAGGCAGGGGATGACTGCCTTCAGCACAAGGTTTAGTATTGTTGGTAGAGTGTAGAACATGGCAGCCTGGGGGAAGGCCATATGACAACTTAATTAACTACTATTTTTCTATTTTTGTTATGTCCTCTTGGGAGCAGGAGTGGCATCCACTTCCTGGAAACTTTATAAACTTTGATGAATGATGATAGTTATAGAAAGGCTTCAGGCCTTTGTTCATAAGGTTGTTGTGAGTCATGCTCGATTCGATGGCAATCAACAACAACCTCTTGTAATAGCTCCTGTATTGAGTGAAGAATACATTTCTAAATACATAGATTTAATCATTTTTTAAGAGAGTGGTGCATTTGAATGAGTTGCTTGTATGTGTTCTCATCTTGAAATTAAATTGAAGTACGTGTCTCAAGTCCAAACCCTAGAACCCACTGCTATCCAGTCAGTCGACCTGTCACCCTCTATTCAGAACTAAGAAAAATTGCCCTACCCAGTGTTTGAGGCTGTAAATCTGCAGGGGAGCAGATTGTCTCAGCGCTCACCCTCTGAGCTGTTGGTAGTTTGAACACCCAACCTTTTGGTTAGCAACCTACCACTTTAACCACCATGCCACCAGGACTCCTTTCTAATGTCTGATGGTCTTTTTTATTGTTGCTATTCTGTGTTGTCAAGTCAACCACCACTCACAGTGCTCCTACACCTAATAGCTCTGAACCCTGCCCTATCCTGAGCCCATTTCACTGTCTCTGACACACCTACTTTTACCCCAGTTACTGTGTCTATTCATCTCATGACACAATTTTTTATTAGAGCCTGGTTGAAAAGTACAGTGAAAATGTGAGAACTATAACTTGGCAAACTGCCTTCTTTTTTAGACCTCACACATTTTCCACCTTTGATAGGGTTATGCTACTTTTATATAGCTTGTTTTAGTGGAAGATACTTGAATTTTCCTTATATGACAAGTTTCCCCCTTACTCAGGTTCCAGGATTAATAGATGTGCTCTAACTGTTTTTAAAACCAAGCCCATCTCTAGCAGTTCAAATCCACCACTGCTTTGAGGGTGAAAGTTGAGCAGTCGCCTTCTGTTAAGATTTACATCTTCAGAAACCAACGGAGAGTGGCTATGAGCTGAAACTGTTTTGAAGGCAGTTAAGTTTGAGGGTTTTAGTAAACCCTTTCTGCCATAGAGCAACTGCTGGTGGGTTTGAACCGCTGACCTTTAGATTAGCAGATATTTACTTTAACTACCTAGTAACCAGAGTTCCTTGTGCAACGTGAAAAAAAGATCATACAGTCATCTCAATAGGAAACACCTATGCATGTGAACTCTGCTGGTTGTTCCATGTTGTCAGCCTCAAGGCTGCCCCCTAATTCAAACTCCTTTAGGCAAAGCTTGATTATTTGAATGTCCCAAGGTGAGTGAGGATGCTTCCTATACATCAGCACAACAAAATGTAAACAAATGTAAAAATAAAAGGCCCAGATTTATGCAGAGTTGTTTAAAAAGCTTTACAAGGGTGTGTGTGTGTGTGTGTGTGTGTGTGTGTGTAAAAACTACTCATACATGAAGTGTAGCCATTGTTAAGCTGTGGCTTATGTATGTACTCATGAAATCATTGCTAGTCAAGATAATCAATATAGCTATTACCCCCAAACTTTTCTTGTGGCTCTTTGCATCTCCCCTTAATGCTTTCCACACATATGTGCATTCACATCCCTACCCTCTAACCTGGGAAGCACTGATTTACTTTCAGCCACTCCAGAATATGTGCTTTCAAGTTTCATACAAATGGAGACACACTTTTATTATCTGACTTCTTCCATGCAGAATACTTACCACGAGATTTACTTACCCTGGTCTGTGTATCAGTTGTTCTATGGTGTGGCTGTTGTTGTTAGGTGGTGTCGAATAGGCATGGCTGTGCCAGTTGGCATACCTTGTGGTATGGCTGTAGCAGTTTATTCGTTACCTGCTTATGGTCATTAGCATTTTTTAAAACCTCCTTCCTATGTATTGCTACAATGAACATGGAAGGAATCCGGAGACGGAGAAGGCATGAAGGTGGGAGACGTATCTGTTAATGTATTATCTGTACCTTGCTGAAGCTTGTCCCTAATGCTGCATAATAATAGGGAGCTGCTTCGGAGAGAAGACTACGGCATAATAGGTTCTGAGAGTTCCTGAAGCAGAATTCCACTTGTAATTCATGAATGCAGGCTGTGAATATTAAAAATGTCAGTGAAGTGGAGAGAGTGCAGGCTGTTTATTGTGACTGATGCAGAACTGAATCCTTGTTCCATGTATATTATTGTTTGATGCCATCGAGCTGACACAACTTATAGCGATCCTGTGAACAATGTGTCTGCAGCCTGCCCTGTCCTCTGATATCCTCAGCATCCCTGATATACACTGATAGCCATTGCTACAGTCACTGTGTCAATCCATCTTGTTGAGGGTCTTCCTCTCTTCTGCTCACCCTCCACCTTTCCAAACATAATGTCTTTTTCCAAGGACTGGTCCCTCCAGACATCATGCCCAAACCATGTAAGGCAAAGTTTCACCATCCCTGTCTCCAAGGAGCAGCTTAGCTGTACTTTCCCTAAGACACATTTGTTTGTTATCTTGGCAATCCCTGGGATGTTCAGTACTCCTCTCCAACACCACAGATCAAAGACATCAATCCTATCATCCTTATTCATTGTTCAGCTCTCAGATCCATAGCAAGTGATTGAAAAGACATGGCCCTTAGTCTTAGTGCCATATACACACTCAGATCCATTTAAGTACATACATATAGGACTTTGCTATGCATCTGAAAGTTGAACACTGAATAAAGAAGACCAAAGAAGAACTAGAGCCTTTGAGGTGTGGTGTTGGCAAAGAGCACGGAATAGACTCAATGCCTGTGAACTATGGTGTTGGTGAAGAGTGTCGAATATACCACGGACTGCTAAGAGCTAACACATCTGTCTTGAAGGAGGTATAACAAGAACGCTCTTTAGAAGCAAGGATGGTAAGAGTTTATGTCATTTACTTTGGGCGTATTCTCAAGAGGAACCAATCCTTGGAGCGAGATACCATGCTGGGAAATGTGGAGGGTTAGCGAAAGAGAGGAAAGTACCCAACGTGTTGGAATGACAACAGTAACTACCACAGTGGGCTTGAGCAGGACAGAGAAGATGAGGATGGTGCAGGAGAGGTCAAGGCTCAGGTCTGGTCGTGGAGTTGCTGCGAGTCACCAACTCAACGTCATCTAGCAACAACCTACGTTGTTTTGTATTGTCACCTACCTTTCTTTTTAGCACATAAAATTATATGTTCTTTTCTTGGCTAAAATATTTTTACCTAGGATCAAATAGCTTTTGAAATACATGACAGATTCATACTTAAAGAATAGATATTTTTCTTTCTTAGAAGGGTATACTATAATTACATCTAAAATTCTATCTAGGTTAGACATAATGCCACAAATTATGTAAATGATATTCTATCTTCCAAATAGTGTTCTCAGGATAAAAAAATTTCACATTCCCTTAATCATCAAAACCTGTTTTTTTAAGGAATTGGGAAGCCCAGGTGATTTTGTGCAAGAAGTCACAGCAGGGTGTCGATGTGAACCAGATGACTTTCAACCCCATGAACTGGCACCAGCTGTGTTTATCGAATTCAAATATGGTGACTGTGTGGACCGTTGAGAGAAGTAGCAATGAACATCACCTCAGAGTCAAGTAAGATGCATGCTTACTGCAGAACAACAAAACAATATTCTTCATTTACACATTTGTGATGTAATTAGATCTCTTTGATTAATTAAGTGGCTTTATTTATATCATGCTTGGAAAGGTGGAGGGACAGCGCAGGAGAGGAAGACCCCAGATGAGATGAATTGACACAGTAATGGGTAATGGGGGCAGGTGTGTCAGAGACTATGAGATTGGCTCAGGATAGAACAAAGTTCAGAGCTGTTGTTCATAGGGTCACTATGAACAACAGCTCTGACTTGACGGTATATAACAGCTTTAATACTATATACTAAAAAGGCGCTCCAGTGGCGTGATAAGCACCGTGCTCCACTGCTAACCAGAATAACATCTCTGACAGTTTGAATCCTCCAGCAGCCATGCAGGAGAAAGATAGGCATTCTTCTCCCATTGCGATTGAGAGCCTCAGAAACTCAGTGGATAGTTGTTAAGGGTTAGCTGTGAGTCTGAGAGGTTTAGGTTTTTGAGTTAGAGAGTACACACGGTGTGATGTTTACACATTATATGATGATTACACATCATGTGAAAGCCGAGGGTTAGTTGCATGTCAGCAGAGTTATCTGCTTTAGTAGAACAGGGTCAAAGAGAGAAAGCTCTGGTGGTATAGACTGGGCCAAAGAGAGACCACTAATGGTGTGATCTGTAGGTAGTTGTGCTGCTAATCTAAAAGGTGGCCAGTTTGAATCCACCAGGAGCTCCTTGGGAGAAAGATGGCAGTCTCCTCTCCTGTGATTTAGCCTCTGAAAATCTCCTGGCGGTCAGTTATGAGTGAGCTCCAGCGTGAGAGCTGTGAGTTTTGAGATGAGAGTCAAAGAGGAAATCTCCGACGTCACAGTGATGGATGAGGATAACAGGTGCCTTTGTTGGAAAAGAGCTCAAAGACTCAAGGAGCCTGAGCTGACCAGTCTCTGTGTACAGACTCCATGGAGCAAAATGCTAGATGAAGTTTGAAACTCACACTCTTGAAATAGTAAATTTGGGGGGGAAAATTGCCTCCTAGTAAATAAAATTTTTTGAATCAAAATTCTTACACAAAGTACTTCTTAATTGTCTTTTTTTTTGTCTAAAATGTTTGCAAACACCCATTGGAGATTCAAATCTGTTTGGTTTATGGTCAGATTTCATAAAGCAAGCAATTTCACTGTCAGATCCTAGACAGCACTGACAAGTAATTTAATAAGAACACTCTGCTCTCTCTTATTGTTGTTGTTGTTGTTGTTGCTGTGTCTCATCAAGTCAGAACTGACCCAGAGCTGGCCCTTCACAGGTTTACAGAGGCAATAAATTTCATGAGAGGAGATTGCTAATCCTTCTCCCACAGAGCAGCTGGTAGATTTGAACCATGTGCCTTTAGGATTACATGCAGCTTCTTACCACTAGGCCACCAGAGCTCCCACTTACCTTAAATGTTCTAAACAGCTAAGATTGACAAATATATTAGTCACTCTAACTACTCCAACTGTGGATGGCTGCTGCTGCTTTCTTCTTCTTCTTCTTCTTCTTCTTCTTCCTTCTTCCTTCTTCTTTCATCTTTTCAAACCCTGCCTTCCCTTCCCCATCCTGGGTGCACTTCCTCCTAAATGCACTTGTCTCATAACAATTACCTCAACTCATTGCCCTTGAGTTTGCCTCATAGATGATCTCCATTGGGTTTCTGAGGCTGTAAATCACATGATTGGAGATTGCCATCTTTCTTCTGAGGAGTTGCTGATGAATTTGAAACACTAAGGAGGCATGGCCTTTGGATTAGAAGCATAACATCATACAGACTATTCCACCGAGTATTTATTAATCCTATTCTTCTGATGTCTCTTTTTCTACAGGTTGGTGCAACTACCCGCAGAAGATGGGTCCATTTTAGAGGAAACAGACAGCATTTTTTCCCACCCACAGCTCAAGGATCGTATCTATGGACCTGTGCTCCCTGTGTCAGCCATTGCTGGGCTAGTGGGTGAAGAAGCAGAAACTTTCAGGGTAATTGCCTGACATCTCTTCCTATTTGCCTAATGGTTTAGGTTACGTGACTTCAGCTCATTCTCCTCACCAACTCATAGATAGGGTAGAGAGACTCATGTTGATTCTAGTATAGATCAGCTATGGAGACAAAAAGAAATGAAAGCTCTGGAGTTTTGAATTTGAATGGCTGGGTAGATGATAACACTGCTAATAGATACAGGAAGTCCTCGTGTGAATTATGTTTTGGACATATTCATGTTCTAGGGTGTCATGGGAACATCCAGGTAGGGATGACGGGCAGAAATTGGCAGAGTGGATCTGATACTCGTAATGGAGAAAGCAAGGCTGGAGATGTAGATCTTGGAGTCCTTCCCATTGATGGGCGAGGGGAAGCTTTGAGAAAGGGTGTGATGAACAGCAAAGAAGAAAGGGTGTGGGAGGACAAGAGGACTAGAGAGGAACTGACCACAAAGAGTTGTGGGAAAGAAGAAGAATCAGGAAAGGAACCATCACAGAAGTAGCAAATCCAAGAGAGAACAAAGTTACAACTGGGAGAGTCAATAGGGGAATTTGTTAATAGTTACACACATTCACTGAATAGGCATTTATCGAGCTGCTTCTATATAGCAGGTACGGTACTGAGCACAAGGGGTTTTTTTCGTAGTCAATTGCCAATAAAACAGATGGATTGCAATATCCAAAGCATTTTACTGCAGATCTGGGAGAGCAAGGAGAATCCTCTCAAAAACTGCCTCCCCGTCTAAGAGTGGTCGCTGGCTTTTATACTTGGGTTAGATGTTACAGTTACTAGTAAACAAACAGCTTGTGAAATAGTTTACATATGACTAAGAAAATACTGTTGTAAAAAGGTAAATGCTAATCTAGGAAAGATGCATTTCCTCTGCTGGTGAATAGGTAGCTTAAAGTTCTATACATGACTAAAGCAAGAAAAATAGAATTCTAAGAAAAAGCAACCAGTTCTGCAGGCTGGAGACAACGGATGTCAGTTTTATAACTATACTAACTGATATGTTTGGATAAAAGGCAAAGCTTCTCACCACCAGACCAATTGGCAGCATCAGGATGGATGGTGAAGAGATTGAGATTGTTAACAACTTTAGTCTGCTTGGCTCCACGGTCAACACTCTTGGCACCAGTAGCCAGGAAATTAAAAAGTGTGTTGCCATGGGAAAGTCTGCTGTTAGGGACCTCTCTAAAGTACTGAAGAGCAAGTACTGAAGTACTTACAGAGTAAGTCTCCTTACTCTGGAGACTAAGGTGCGTCTGATACAGACCATGGTCTTTGCAATCACTTGTTATGCATCATAGGGTTGGACAATGACTAGGGAGGATAGGAAAATTGATGCCTTTGAGCTGTGGTGCTGGAAAAGAGTATTGAGAATAGTCATGGACTGCTAGGAAAACAAACAGATTCATCCTGGCTGCTCCTTGGAGGCAAGGATTCTGGGGCTTCGTCTGACATACTTTGAACATGTTGTAAGGAGGGGACTGGTCTTTGGAGAGGGACATCATGCTTGGGAGGGTGGAGGGACAGTGCAGGAGAGGAAGACCCTCTATGAGGTAGATTGATGCAGTGACTAGGGTAATGGGGGTAGGTGTGTCAGAGATGGTGAGATTGGTACAGGATAGAGCAGGGTTTAGGGCTGTTGTACATAGGGTCGCTATGAGTTGCAAGCGACTCCATGGCACATAACAACAACTCCAACAGAGGTAACTAACTCATGGTTGCTGTGATGCCAAACAATGTGACACTGGTGTGTTAAATGCGATAATGGTTACCCGTGGTGGACAGTGTTTGGTGGAGCTCCCCAATTAAACCAAGTTTGCAAGCAGGAGTGTCATCCACTTAGAAAATAGCTTGCCTCTGGAAACTCCATGAACTTGGAGAAATGATGAAAATTCTACAAGTGTTCAGGTCTTTCGTTCATAGGGTCCCTATGAGTCATCTGCAACTCAACGGCACTTAACAACAACAAGCAACTCCATCAGGTGGTGTTTTGGGGCAGTGAGGATCCCCTGGTGCCCAAGTCAGTGTGATCCCTGCTTCACAGAGCTTGTGTTGTGATCAGACAAGACGAGAAGCAGAAAAGTTAAAGGCACATCAGGTCATTGCAAAGTGTGATAATGATTATAACAGAATAAATGTTGGCAGAGAGATTGATACAGGTTGGTCAAAGAAGGCCTCTGAGTAGATGACATTTGTACTGAACCTTGAAGAACATGTTATGTAGAGCGTGTTTCCATCAGGGTAAAGAGTGTTCCACTCAGAGAGTGTCATGTGAAAGACCCTGGGGGAAAAAGACCACCTGGTATATTTGAGAAACTGGAGAGACCAATGTGGCTCACAATGTGGAACACAGGTGGATGAGAAGGAGGAAGTGAGGGGCAGGAGGGTGTTCAAGAGGGAGGCAGGAGGCAGGACTTTTGAGGTGATTCCTAGCCTCTTAATCTTGTGCTATGTTAATGCTTGGGATGAAGCTCTAATAAGAGGATAAAGGAAATAGAGGATTCCAAATATTTTTACCCTTCAGAAAATTAAGTTATGGATTAAAAATATAATGCAAGGCATCTCTCTCCCTTATTTCAAATCCTACTACACTGCGGTGGTGGTTAAGACAGCATGGTACTGGTACAATGACAGACACATAGATCAATGGAATAGAATTGAGAATCTATAAATCAGCCCATCTACCTATGGTCAACTGATTTTTGACAAGGAGATGAAATCAGTTAAGTGGGGAAATGACAGCCTTTTTAACAAATGGTACTGGCAAAATTGGAAAGCTGTATGCAGAAGACTAAAACAAGATCCACACCTC